GAATGTCCTCACTAGCCATTCACAAAAGCATAAAATGTCTCATGTTAAACTGACAATCAGTTAGCTCAAAGCTAAAGTCTAGGCAAACTCTACCAGTTACAAAACCAGAGTTGCATATGAACAGGGCTGTAGGGAACTTTAAATACTCACTGCCTTTATGAAACTTTTAGCAATACAGAAAGAAAATTGTGAATACTACTATAATAATAATAATTGTATTTCTGTTACACTAATTTTGTAACACCTCAAAGCACTGGATTACAAGCAAGAATACGGATGCCAGTGTAACCACAGAGCAACACCTCAGAAATAAGAGAATATATACTGGAATAAATAAATACGAAATCTGGCTTACTTATTTATAAGGTCACTGGTCCTTCTGGTTATTTGTCAAATTCCACTTCCAGTCAAGAAGAAATCTGCAAAGGCTTAACTTTCTTGAAGAAGTTGCATCTTGAAATGAAAAAGGGTTTCCGTTCACTCGTGTCCCATTCCCTACTGTGAGCACAGGTGTTTCAAATTCCTCATTGCTCCTGAGAACAGTTGCACCAGCTGAGGCTTCCCTCCCAAGGCAGGACAAACCGTGCTATCACACTACCTTCCTCCCCTAAGAGTTCTGCCTGGGGAACGAGCTACTCTAAATTCTAGCCACAGATGCGTAGAATCCCTGCCAGTTCAACCTGCCTGTGAAATGCACTGAATCACCTGGCCCTGCCCAGTTTGTGGGTTGCACTGTCTTGATCCTGACCTCATAACAGAATACAAGCAGATAGCACCTTCCACTGATAAAATTTTCCACTACCAAGGCTTAGCATGCTGGATTATGCTTTTGCTGGAATATACAGGGCTAAATTTTCTACTGGTGATATTGGACACAGCTCCACTGATGTTAATGGCATTTTGCTTACTTATAACAGGTCATTTATCTAGTCCACATTTTTTCTTGTACTCTTTCCAAGGTGCATATACTTTATGGAATATACAGGAAAGCATGTAAAGAAAGAATGCCACCATAACAATCTCTCCCTCTCAGAGAGAAAAGCCATAGAATCTCTAAGATCCAACCACCAAATAGTAATAAAACCAGCGATAAAGGAGCTATCGTTATCCTTAACCATGAAGATCACATAAAAGAAGCCAACTCTGACACCACCTATGAAAAACTAGAGGAAAATGCAACTCCCCTTTTCACCTTAAAACTCAAAACCACCATCAAATCATTTCCATCTGAATTACAAGGAAAACTACAGAACTTGATCCCCCCCACTACCCAACCCAGGGACTTTTTACACACTCCCTAAAATCCACAAACAAGGGAACCCAGGCAGACAACTTCCTATGGCCCAAAACACACTGAATGGATCCAGACCATGCCAGAGACAAGAAATGTAGAACCTGCCATCTTATCTCTACCACTCCCACAGTAACTACACCCCACAACAGGACCATCACCATTCCTGGATCTTACACCTGCACCTCCAGAAATGTAATATATTTCATCCAGTGCACTAAGTGCTCTAATGGCAAATATGTAGGAGAAACCAACTATGCACCAGAAGGAATACACACCAAAAATCTACCAAAGACAAAACTGTCCAGTTACCTGTGTTACAGGGGTGTAGGTTGTAGCCGTGTTGGTCTAAGGACATAGGCAGACAAGGTTCCTTGGGTGAATCTGATATCTTTTATTAGACCAACCCAAATAGTTGACTCCTCAATATTAAGCAAGCTTTCGGGTTCAAAGACCCTTCGTCAGGCTAAGGAAGTTAAATTAACTGCTGCAACTTCCTTAGCCTGACGAAGGGTTTTTGAACCCGAAAGCTTGCTTAATAATTATTTTCCAACTATTTGGGTTGGTCTAATAAAAGATATCAGATTCACCCAAGGAACCTTGTCTGCCAGTTACCTGTGGGTGCACACTTCTCACAAGACAACCACTCTCTCCAATCTCTGAGTTATAATCCTGAAAGGAAATTTACAAAACACCTTTCGTAGACAAGCCTATGAACTTCACTTCATAAATCTACTGGATATAAAAAATCATGGACTAAGTATAAACATTGGATAACACATAGCACATTATAACCTGCTTGCCATCTCATAACCCCAGGTAACATTTTACCAGCTACATTCTATCACAGGGATAGGCAACTCCCAGCACACGTGAAGAAAACATTTTTTTTTAAGTTGCTACAGCAGGCTCTCTGGAGCAGCCACAGGTCCCAGTGCCATGGCAGGTGCCAGGGAAAGGGCAGGAGAACACAGTCTGTGTTCTGTTCACCCCATGCCCGTGTTTGTGGCAGTGCTAAGCACTTCAAACTCAGCCACAGCATCCCTGCCTGTGTTTTTCTGACTCCGCCTCTGGTGCCTGGGGGCCAAGGAGGGGAAGAGAAACCAGCGGCAGCAGCAGCTGCTGTCACCTCTTGTACCCAATGCCTGCACTGCTTGCCCATGCACTTGCATTGGCGGGGGGGGCAGCCAGGCTCTGTCAGCCAGTCCTCATAGTTTCTTC